GGCGACTCTGGCGCTCGAAGATCCAAACGGTGGGATGGTGTCTCTTGAAGATCCAGTAGGTATTTCCTTAGGGTTTCGTAGATCAGTTTCTCTCTCTCTCTCTCTCTCTCTACCCTCAGTCCCTTACCGTTTTCTCTCTCTTTCTGGCCTCAACGTGTTTCTCTCCTCTCCGTCGCTATCTTCTACCTTTTCCCTCGCCGGCAACGCTGGAGCTCGAAGTGTGGGATGGTGGGATGGTGGTGCTCGAAGATCCAATTAGTGGGTGTGCGGTTTTGTGGCGGGTGTTGGTGTGTCGTTGCTGCCATTCCTGTGGGTGTGTGGCTGGGTAAGTGTGTGAATCGGAGTGGCGGCTCATCCGTGGGTGTGTGGTGGATCGGTGGGTGTGGCTACTGTTGGTGGTTGCTGCTGTTTGGTGGTGGATCTTCTGTTGTTGTTGTTGTTGTTGGTGGCTGTTTGTTTTGCTGCTGTTGGTGACGGGTCTGTTGGTGGCGAATCTGTTGTGGTGGGTTGTGCGCGGCGGTGGTGATCGTGCGGTTTGGGTGGCGGTGCGTTTCTGTGCGATGGGTACGTTTCTATGTGATTGTTGTGTTGCTGTGCGATGGTTGGGTGTGTGCGCGTGCGGCGGGGGTGGTCGTGCTCGCGACGGTGGTGGAGATGCGACAATGGTGGTGGTGCCGCTGGTAGAGGCAATGGTGAAGTGATTGTCACGATTGATTTGATTGTTTGTGACCAATAATTTAGTTGGTTTGTGACCAGTGAATTAGATAAAAAATGTGACCAATAAATGTCGTGACTAAAAATTATTAATCGGTGACCAATTATGGTGGTCACAAACGATTTTGGTGGTGGTCACAAATAATTTGGTGGTGGTCACAAATAATTTGATTGTTTGTGACCACCACTAATTATTAATTGTGACCAAAAAATAATTAATTGTGACCTAAAAATTATTAATATGTGACCTAAAATTATTAATTGTGATAAATTGTGACCTAAATAAGTATTGTGACTTATAAATTTTGGGATCTGTGACCGATGAACAAATTGT